ATAAAAAAAATAGAAATAATTTTTATAAAAAAATATTTTAAATTTTTAGAGTAATTGTAAAAAAAATATTTTGATATTAATTTTTAAAGTTTAAAAAATAGAAAATAAATTCCTAAATCTCAAAGATTCTAAAATTTTATATGTAATCTTCAGTCATCTAATAGACTATGCATGTTGTTATTTAAATATTTTGTATATAATGAATGTCTTTCAAACTTTCTATAGATTTGAATATAACTTACTTAGATATAAAGTTACTTAAATAATGTTGTGATTAAGTTATATGGCTTAGAAATAAATTCTATATTTATATTATCTTTTATTCTTTATTTAGTAAGATCTCTCTTATAATTTCTTTTTTTTATTTTATTTTATTTTATTTTTAAGTAGAAAAATATTAAAAGTTTTATCTAAGAAATTGTGATATTATAAAGTCTATGGTCAATGGATATATAAATCCTAAATGGCATTTGAACCATAATTATTGATATAATATGACTTTAAAAACTATATTTTATATATATTATTGTAAGTATTATCCTTATGATTTTTTAATTTCATATTAAAATTAGAATTATGAAATTTTATTATATATATATAAATCTCTAAAGTTGGTACTATATTGTAGACATCTTAATAATTGAAGGCTCAAAATTTTAAATTTTAAAACTATGTAAGTCTAAATCTTAATTTCTTTAATTTCTTTTTTAGAATGTATCTTTGTAGCTTATTAATTTTATATTCTATTTAAAATTTAATTTTATATCAATTATTTTTACAAATCTTTTTAGTTTAAAATACATTAAAATATTTTGACTATAATCGCCTTTAGGCTTTACTTACTAGATTAATTTTTTAAACAAAGTAACATTTAATATAAGATCTATTATTATTTTATTATAGATAAATTTTCTTAATTTTTTTAACATTGAATTACATAAAGAAATTTGGAACTATATTGAATTTTGCTAAATTCTTGAAATGAAGGTCATGTTTTAAATGCATTTATTACTAAAAGCTATTAGATACAAGATGCTAAAATCAAGTAATCTGAATCTCTAAATCTTTTGAAATTATCTTATAGCTTGATTTTCTTCATTCTTATTATTATATTATATAAGAAATTTAAAATTGTATAAATTTTAATTTTAAATTTTTAACTTGAGAGAACATATTAGACATCTTGATTGTCACTTGGTGTTAGACTCTAATATTAGACCAACTATCTAGATTAAGTAATATGACATTCTATCATTTTTAAATTTTTTTTTTGTAACTAATTCTTATAAATTTCTATTTTAACATTATATAAGAAATATATAACAAATTTTTATTTCTATTTGTAGAGAATCAATTAAAATTTAGATTTTAAAATAAACATTCTAATTAATAAAGGTTCCTAAGCTTTAATATATTAAAGTCAATTAATATTAATTTATATTTTATTTTTCTATTTATTCTAATTGCTTGTTGTAACTCTTTAACACTAAATTAAATTAATATACTAAAATTGTAATAAACAAGTTATGATTTTATAAAATAACTAATACATTATTGAGATCTTTGATTGTGTATATAATAAATTGGTTCACAAATGATAAGTAGATGATAGTTTGTCTAAACTATAAAAATTCAAATAGATGGATAGAATTAGAAAGAAAAAAAAAACAAAACAAAACAAAACAAAACAAAACAAAAACAAAAACAAACAAACAAACAAACAAAAAAAAAAAAAAAAAAAAAAAAAAAACCTTCCCTTAATAAATTATAAATGATAAGGGATGGATAAAATATTAATTTAATAATATATCTCTGAAGCTCTGTAATTATTGCATTAATTGAAATCAAAGACATATATATATATATATATATATATATATATATATATATATATTTATATAGATTAAAGAAATTAAATAGAAATAAGTAGAAGTAAGTAAATTTGATAATATCTTGCAAAGACGCTTAATAGATGCAGATTTGACTAGAATATGAATTTTATAATATTAATTTTATTGAATAAAATTTACTAGAATCATATTCAAATTTAGATGAAAATTATTCAAGCATTTTTCAAAATTACTGAATATACACTATTAAAATACAATATTTAATTGTTTTAACATTATACCTAATCTTTCAAATGCTTGAATAATTTGCATCTAAATTTGAATATAATTTTATGAATAAAATTTACTAGAATATGAATTTTATAAAAAATTATATGCAAAAATATGCATATAAACTTCTATAGAATCTATAGTTTATAATTCTATGATTTACTATTTTAATTATTTTAAAAAATAAAAATAACATATATATATATAATAAATTCCATTTGGTTGGATTTATCAAATTAAATTTATATTATTTTTAAGATTTTATATTTATAAGTAATATTATAAATAAATTCATACTTCTTATATTAAAAAAATCAAAAATTTGGAAATAATGTATTTTTGAAACCTTTAATTGATTTTTATAAAACACTCATTGAATTTAATGTATATTTTTATTTGAAATTATATTGAAGTCATAATTGTTTCATTAAATAAAAATATAAAAATTATTCTATATAAAAATATTAACTTAAAAAATTATCCTTTTGTTAATTATTTTAATATGTATATATATATACTTTTTTTTATTTTTATATAGTTTTTTAAAAGTTCATGAAAATATATTTGTTCTAGTTTTAAACTAATATTTTGTGTTTATATTATTTCTGATATTTTATTCAATTTCTAATTTTCTAAAAAAATTCAATTACTTAAGAATTTTTATCAGTTATTTAAAATAAATTTAAAGTTTTATCTTTAGGTTTATATTGTTTATATATTTTAATTTTATAATTACTATTAATTAAAATCAAGATTTTTAATAGAATGTATACTAAAAAAAAATCATTGTTACATCTTAGGGTTAATTCTCAATTTCTTATTAATCATAAAAATCATAAAAATAAAAATAAAAAATGATGTGAATAACATCTAGCTTTTTTACTAAATTGTTGATTTTTTAGTATTTTACTTTAGTGACTCCAAAACTTGTAGCACTAATTGAAATAAGGAAACAATGTAGCCATTCGCATGGTAAGTAATACAATTGCTTCCATTTGTGTAGGCACATAGGAACTTACAAAGCAATCATTGGAGAGATGACAATTGGAGACTCCAAGCAACTTCAAATACCATCTCACATCTATTCAAACTTTATTTTGAATGTAAGGAGGAGCCTTCTAATCAAGGACTCATCATTTTGTTTGATGCCTAAGCACTATTATCACCAATTTGAGCAACTCTATGCCATTGTCATCTTGCAGAAAAAAAACATCATTCTTCCCTAACTTTACCAATGACAATAATTCTTAATTAATGACCTAAACTCCATCAATCTCATTTCATAGAGGAGGAGGGAAGGAGGGAGGAAGTGTGAAGTGGAGCTTGTCCTAGGCTAAGAACATGAATGGGAGAATTCGGAACAAAAGTTGAAAATAGGGAGGCTTGGAATAAGAGATGGGATTAGAGGACAGAGATAGAAACAAGAAATAGAGACGAAATCAATCATGAAATGGCTACGAGAGGTGTAGCTTTAACAACTTTCTATTTTTATTACTTGTATGATTTTTTTAATACATCAAAGATCTCATGGCAATAGCAATATTTGAAAGAAATGATGAAATCTATTATATTAATATGAAATATATATATATATATATATATATATAAAGCATTCAATGCATCTTTTTTTATCACAACAACAACCAAGATTATAATTAGTACATTAAAATAATAAAAAATAAGATGAGTCTTTTCAACAACAATGTCATTTTAAATAAATCTTAATATTAGAATCATAAAATTAGAATCACATCTATTAATAAATTCATAAAATTAGAATCACATCTATTAATAAAATCTAATTTTATTCCTCTTCAAATGTTTCAAAATCTCAACTCAAAATTTTAAAGCTTCACCAACCAAGTACAACTTAATACATCTAATTAATAATGTTCTAATAATTTTAATTAAAAAAATTAGAATTCAGTGTCTTTCTATTGAAGTTTAATAACAAGTTGTACTGATTAATACTGATTTTTATTGTTATTAGAACAATTAGATCCATCATTAAACAACTTAAATATGTTTCTAATAGAATCTTCATTTTTATACAAAAAACATGATGAGCATTGTACAATAACCAACAAAGTATAATCATGCTCTTGCAACATAGAAATTATTTGAGAGCCTATATATGCTTTGCGACATTGACAACCAATAATTAAGTGTTATTTTTTTTCACTTATCAACCAAATATTTATTAAGATTATAATATAATTTTAAAATGTAATTTTCATACCTAAAGAGGGCATCAAACTCATTTTGACTTTTCATGTTTAAATCAATGAACAAGTTTAACATGTAATCATGTACTTGAATAATATCTTTAATACAGCATCAATTAATATCAAGATGACTCTCTTGCTACTTGGTGAATTACCCTCAGCCACTTAGTATGTACATTTTCATTGAAATATCACCAAAATGTAGAAAAATGTGAATTTTTAGTTACCATCTTAGACCACTTTGTGACAATGAATGCTGCCATCGATGCAATCCTTGAGACCTTCAGTAGCAACTTTAAAGAAAAGGTCGCAGAATATGCAGGACCTGTAATCAACAGTTTCACAATTGTGCATCCAAAAATACTTACTTCTGAAAAGATCGACATTTCATTGTGACACTGGACCCGCACAACACCAGCAAAATCACTACAGCAGTACTCAATCAAGCCAAAAAATATCAAACAGAAGCGCACATATTCATATGATACTCAACTCTAGGACGGGGCAATTAATGCAAGAACTAGTAGAGCATCCAGAACAGAGCAAGATATTATCCAAAAACAAGGAAGTACAGTCCAAACAGAAGCAGCACGCAAGCACCGCACACAGCCAGAGTAACAAAAAACGCCAAAACACTCACCATGCACCCCACATGTAACTTCCAACCCAGATTTGCATTTAAATAAAAATGAAACCACCGTTGCGCGACGTGTGAAAATGTACAAAAGCAACTACCAATTATCCTAAACATCACCTTGAGTGTTCGCTGCTACTTTCAAAGAATGCTGGACCAGCGCAGCAGTGAAATAAACTATTCACTCTAACCTCTCCCAGTCACCAACCATCCCTCGAACAGGACACCCATCTGTGGAAGAATTCAAATGTTTGTGCAGAGTTAAATTGTACATGATTTATAGAGGGGCGTGTAGAAAGAGGGAAAATTCGAAATCGTTTTGTTGGAACCCCCACCGATTCGCCAGCTCCGACCCAGAACCTCCAAGCCTATGTAGCTGCAGCTTGCTCCTCTTGAACTTTCGTACCTGAGCCACCGTTAACTGCAGAACATCAATTGAACAGAGACTGCATGAATCAACAACGGAATCTAACGCACACGATCCAAACGCATAAGTGAATTTGCATACAACGTACGAACAACTGAACAGCACATACATTCAAAATCTTGACACCATACCAACCGATTCCCGCCACCGTTCCCGAGACGTAATACCCACACTGCAAACAGGATGCACCCTAAAAGCACTAAAATACACCGGCTTGGAAACCCAGACATCAACATCCACAACAAATAATTCATACACGTTTATGTATGTTTTTTACTCTACCTGCAGGCTTCCCCTCTTTCGGCTTCGTGATGTTTCCGTTCCCATCATTCTGTGACTCTTCTATCTCCTTCGCTGACAACACTGCCTCGTTCTCCCCACCCACGGGAGCAACATCTCCCGCGTCTGCAGCAGCAGCATGTGCACCACCCATCTCCGATACCGGTGTGCCGCGGATCTTCTGCACCAGAGAGCCATTCTCCGCCTGCAATCTCTTGCACTCTTCCGTCATCCGGTTCAACTCCGTCAGCAGGGTCATGTTCTCTGCCGTGAGCGTTTCCACTCGGTTGCCTAACTCCTCGCACTCCGCCTGCTTCCTCAGTCGAGATCTTCTCGCAGACTCCCGATTAGACTGCTTCCTCCTCTGCCTTTTCACCTCTCGCTCGTCCGTCAGCCACAGTTCTGCTGGTGGAGCGCTCGTCGAAGGACTCCCAGACGTCTGCTTCCCTCCCTTCGCCTGCGAGAGTGACCCTGCAGTCCAATAGTCCAAGCTCATGTCCAAACTTCCCCCTGGCCCTGGGGTCCCAACCGTAGGTGCCGGGGCGCCCGATACGGCACCCGGGGGTGGCATGTACGGCGGCGCTCCCACGGCCTCCATCGCCATCTGCTCGAAACTCCGCTTGCCTCCCAACAAGTTCTGCGCATTTTCCTCTCTGCTTGCATCCGTGGAACCACCGTCATCAGTCCCCGTTTCGTCGTCGTGCTCTCGTTCACCATTGATTACGTTCTGCGGCACCCCATTCCCTTTCCCTCCGGCCTCAGCATTCTTCGAGGGCTGTAGACCGCCCTTCCCGTTCTTAGATTTTTTCAAAGTCGAAAGCTTCGCACCTTCACCACTTTTGGCCTCAGTTTTCCCGTCTGCTCCCTGCTCCACGCCAGTCGCTGCTTCCGGCGCCGGAGTCCCGTACTGCCCGTACATGGGGTGTCCATACATTCCTCCTGGTGGGTACATGGCGCCGTAGGAAGGGTGTGGCCCCCTGTAGCCTGGTGGCATTACGGGCTGACCTCCCCACATGTAGGGATGCGGGAACCCACCCACAGGTGGCTGAGCTCCCGCCTGGTAGTATGCCTGGAAAGCAGCCAGCCATTCGTTGTATCCATGAGCGCCCGCCTGCGCGTCGGGATCATGAGACGCAAGGGGAATCAGAGACTTTGTGGCAGTTGTGTTGGCAGTGGCGCTGCTGGTTTTTGGAGCCTTAGAGGTGGCGGGTGGAATGACTACCGTCTCCTCTGCTGTCCCCATCGCTTGTATGCGTCCTCAAACCTCGATTGGAAATACAATTGTTCCCCAAATAATGAAACCCTCGCTTGCGAAACCGACTGTCAGGAAGCTCCTCTGATCATGACGTCCACATCAACACCTGCGGCCTGCGGTAGAGAAAAAGCTACTAGAGAATAAATTACAAGGCAAAAGGTCATGAGAGGAGCTCGGCATCATCATAGAGAGACATCAGCCTTGTAACTGAGCACTCTCAAAGTGCAGGAACTTGGGGAGGGAAAAAACGTAAAACAAATCAAAATCAAATAAAATACCAGGACCATCCTCATCAAGCCCTACCATGAGGGTCTCCCCAACTTTTCTGAGTCGCTTGTCATCCTCAAACAGACAAATACTCCAACCCCAACTCGTCTACTACCCTCTCAAACTCTCCTCACAAACCTCTTTCGACCGCATTACTACCACCTCCAACGCACGACAAGGGCACCCACTAATATTTCCACGCCACGCAATCAATAACACTAAGTATCAGGGTTTCCTAACTCCAACATGCAATCGAAGCTCTAACTATCAACACCCTTCTCACCTCACTAGCACAACAACAATGAAGACGCGAACACTTCCAACCCAACAATACCTGAGACTCGACCCACCACCTCACGGCAATAAACCAAAACCATGTCACTGCAAGCGCTCAACAAATTTCACCAACAGCCAGGAGCATCGAGACGACGCAAACTCGACATGGTGGCTGCAGACAAACCAAGATCAGCAGCACAACAACAGAGTAAAGGAGAGTCAACCCTCCGCCCTGATGGATACGCACTCACCCAACACACACCACCCACGAAAAAGAGTTGGCAGATGACATGACAGCAGAGCATGCCAAGGCAGCAGCACACGAGCAGATGTGGAAGTGAGAGACCCAAATGGGACAGACAAACAATCCAGCCAGACAAGCCAGACAAAAGCATACCGCAGAAGGAGGAGAAGGAAGAGCCCGGAAAGAAAGGAGGAAAAAACAAAAAAAAAAACAAAAAAGGCACAACCCTCGCTCGACGTCACACCCTCAGCACCGCCCCCGGCTCTCACGAAATCAATCAACAGCAATGCGAAAATCTCTGCCCATCTCTCTCCCCCTCGGAATGACAACCCTCGATTTCTCTCATGGAAACCATCCTCTCTGCAATGAACTCCGCATGGAAACCAAAAACTACAAAAAATAAAAACTAAAGCTAAAACTAAAACTAAAAAAATCCTCATCAGCCCACCTCAGCGTTCGTCAGCAGAGCCTCCGCAGCGGTAATCGAAGTGGAATTCCAGTCCAATCGACGAGCCAGGCCATGAAGATCTTCTCGCGGGGCGGCATCCACCTCAACCGACTGCGAAGCCAACAAGGCAAAGCAAAGACAGCGGCGAAACGAAGCCTCACCACGGTGGAAAGCATCCCCCCACCCATGACCGTCCGATCTCAGCCCCTGCTCCTTTCTACCTTCGGATCCTCCACGTCGATGGTAGTGCCACGTCTCCTTTTAACGTGGCGAGATTCTGTTGGACATTGGTAAGATGGGTCCACTTGGATGTCTACTTAGGGTTTTCGTATATTTATAACAAGGTTGGGGTTCGTCTGTGTACTGTATTCCATAACGCGTGATAAAAAATAAAAATAAATAAATAAAAGTTCAATCGCGGGGTGGACCTTTCCGCAGCAACCAAAATTAGGAATTCAACGTTGATTGGACTCGTGTTCAGGTAATTGACTACACTGCGATTGTGGTCTGCTTGTTTCAGAACCCGAATCGCGCCGCGGAATATTGAAACCCTGGTCTGGACACGAAGTGTTGTCTCTTCGGGAAGCGTTTCGTACCGTGCGATGGATTGCTCATCTCCGGAAACTTTCGGCTGCTCTTGGGTTAGTTTTTTCATTGCGAAGGGAGGTCCAGTTCCGTGCTTGCATTCGTGTCGGCGAGGCTCGAGGGAGAATAGGCTCAAAGGCGGGGGAGGGGGAGAATACGCATGGTTTTCTGCGACTCCTGTGAGAGCGCAACTGGGGCGTGGTTGAAGAGCCGTTTTCTCCCACAGACTAGATCCTTTCGTGAGGAGTTCCGCCAATGATTGGCCTGCGGGGAACTGGTCACTTCGGAGCCAGTAATGCCGAGGGTGGAAAAAAATTTGCAATTGGGGAAAATTCTTCGATGACATCCGATGCCGAGGGTGGAAAGATTTTTGCAACTGGGGAAAATTCTTCGATGACATCCAATGCCTCGCGTGCCACACATTGTGGGATACTGCACCAGTGCGTCGTTGGCAAGCCCGCACATAGATCTAGTACATTGAACCAATATGTATTTGAATGTATCGTGTACAAAATACGTATTTTTAGTACAGCCAATGCTTAGTCATCATAGGAAGGTGGAAGATCCCGCGTTCCCGATCTCTTGGCTTTTGTAACTCCTGGGGAACGTATGGGAACAATCATTTGCCCCAAAGCAAACTTGTTTCCGATTCCCCTGTTAACGGAACTTAACACTGGAAAAAGAATGTGGGAAAGTTTAAAATAAATTTGAGATTCTCTTGGGTTTTGGGGTGGTTGGGTTGTCGAGAATCAGCTCCAAGGCAAAATAATAATATTAATATATATATATATATATATGTATGTATGGGAATTTTAAATAGACCCATGTTTTTACTAAATAGATCCACCTTTGATGAAGAATATGGTAGTCATGATGAATGTGGTTGGTTTTTATTGGTTACAAATCCATTAGTGGAAACATGAATATAGAGATAATTTGTTTTTTTTTTTCATGATGAATGTGGTTGGTTTTTATTGGTTACAAATCCATTAGTGGAAAAATGAATATAGAGATAATTTGTTTTTTTTTTCATGATGGTTGTATGGGTGGATAAATTTTGATAAAAAACTTGGATCTATTAAACAGTCATATATATATATATATATATATATATATATATATTACAAAAAAAATTGACCCACTTTTACTCCAACATAATAAAAAAAGAAAATGTCAAGAATGCTTCTAGAACTTGTTTGAATAAAAAATTCTAAGTTGGTTAAAAATCTTTAATACCATGTGAATCTTTATAATGATTTGGTTAAGATCTACAATAGTTATATTTTCTTTTTACTTTCATTTACATTCAAATTCAATATAATTAAATAAAATACAGTCTTTTAGTCTTAAAGTTATGGACAAGAGTGTAAAAATAATGCCACTCAATCCATAAAATTGATGAGAAATGAGTGTATATATGTGTCACGAATATACGCATGTAAACCAGTAATTATCTATATAAATAGGTAGCAATAAGTAGAAGTAGATAAAAGTAAGTTAATTCTATAATATCTTATATAGAAGCTTCATAAACGGTGCTTTGACTTTATAGGTGTCTTTAATTGACTTTTTAGATTAGAAACGTGGTCAACAAGTTGGCCATGTGCCACACATATTGTTAGCTTGAAGACCAAGCTAACTATGTGGCCCACACGTAGAAAAACTTACCTTGTAAGTCAAGGCATGTGTCCTACAAAGTCAACACACATTGGAGGTCCTATAGAACATTACGATGTAGCCTCTAGTTAGATAGTATATATAGAGACTAGAGTGAAGCTTTCTTCACTCTTGTCAATTCTTGTTTTGCTTCTAGTCTAGTTTCAAGAGTCTCAAATTTTCTTGTCTTTTGGCAATAAGCCTTTCCAGTTTCTTTTAATATATGTACTTCCTTATTTCTATTTTGTCATTCTTTCTTTGACAGGAATTTCATTGGTTTATGCATCATCTTTTACTTTATATCCTTGACAGATTGATAAGAGTACACTTACAGTATCAGAGCTTTGTCTTGCCTTGATTAAGAGTAGATTATCCCTTTCTCATGATAAGACATAAGCATATTAGAAGTTGCGGATTACTCTCTTCTAAATTGATATTGTTCTTAGTATTTTCTTTGTCCTCAAGCCCTTTCTTATACTTATCTTGAGTGGTATTAAATATTTTTTTTGATTCTTATTAAGACAAAGCTTGTTGAAATGAAGAATGCAGTGGCACAAATGCAAGAGCAATTGAAGGAGTTGATACTTGTAATGCATCAACTTAGCTTACCACCACAAGGATTAACAAGAATAGCAGGAAGTGAGGATATAGAAATGATTAGAAATACTTCAACATTTGTACCAAATCATGTCCCTCCACCCAAGGTAGAACATCCTTTAAGTGTTAGAGAACCAAGAGTTGCTTTGTCCGAGAAGTTTTATGGTACAAGATCCAAATTTCAAGGATTTATCAATCAAGTATAATTTGTGATTGAACTTCAACCTCAAAGCTATCCAACTCCAAGATCACAAGTTAGATTCATTAGCACACTTCTTTCAAGTTCAACACTATCGTGGTTTTCATCTTTTTTTGAACAACAAGATTTAATATTGGATAATCTGGAGGCATTTTTGGTGGAATTCTGGACCATGTATGGAAAACATGATGTAACTCGTATTGCAACCAATAAGATCCATATTTTGTGACAAGGCAATCGATCTGTAACGTTATATGCTTCACAATTTTTACAACTTGCAACTGATATCAAGTACAAAGATGTTCCACTTATTCGCTAATTTCTCTATGGATTACAATGTGAGGTAAAGAAATTGATGCTCAACTTACTTAATCCTCAAACATTGAATCAAGCAATTGACTTTGTTGTGAAATATAACAATTAATTTTTTGAATTTTGATTTGAGAGTCGTACAAATAGGCCTCAACGTTACTACAATTTGATGGCAATACCAACATCTCCTCAATACATACATTCAGAAATAGAAGATATGCAAATTGATGTGGTATGTTTTAAACCTCTTATCGAGCAAGAAAAGACTAGTCATTGTCAAGAAGGATTGTACTTATATTGTAGAGAACCTGAACACATTGCTCAACATTGTCTAAAGAAGCAACAAAATCACAAAATGAAGAGGACATCTATCAAAGAAGACAATGTATTAGAAAACAAATTTGTCCAGCTACAATAGGGACCAAGCAGCTGGAATCTTATATAATTTCTAATGAAGGTCCTATCCTCTCCTCAGAATCCTCTCTTTGTTTTATAATAGATGTGCACTTAGGATCTAATAATTATAAAGCCTTTGCCTTGATAGATTCAAGAGCCTCACCTTGTTTCTTAGACATAAAATTTGTTAAAAGTCATAAAATACCATTAGTACAAAAAACCAAACTTGTTCATGTAGAAGTCATAGATGGTCATCCGTTATCTTTTGGAGATATTATTCATAAAACACTTCCTATAGATGTAGCAATAAATGGTCATAATAGTTGCATAATCTTTAATATAATTAGATCTCCCTCTAACTCAATCATTTTAGGTTTATCATGGTTAAAAAAGTATAATCCTTGCATAGATTTGATTTCTTGTATCCTTGACTTCTCTAAAAGCATAATTAAGAGTAAAATTAATTTAGTAAAAAGTCATAAGTCTAGTATAATTAAACCTATGTTTGTAAGTGCAAGAGCTTTTTTGCATGCTGCAAAAGAAGGGCCACCTTGTGTCATTTATGCCACACCTGTTTCTAATGATGCAAAGACTTCAAGTGGTATTCCTAGCTAATATCAAGAATTTCAAGATGTATTTGAAAAGAAGAATGTGGATACTCTTTCAGAACATCGCTCTTATGATTGCTCAATTGACCTTCAAGAAGGAGCACAACTACTATTTGGACCAATTTATAGTTTATCATAAAATGAATTGGCTAAATTCAAGGAATATATTGAAGAAAATCTAGCCAAAAAATTCATACGCC